ACCTATATTGGAGAGGTAGGCCAATGTTAGTACACACATCCCTTCATCTCTCACACATGTCCTAGTCTTTAAAAAAGATCTGCAACAAGCCAGCAGGACAAGAGAAAAAAAAATAATTCTTTTTTTTTTTTCATTATGTAATGGCCTATATCTCCTTTTAGCATGTTGTCATGTGTCTCAAGTCTCTGAACTGAAACCTTTTGTCACGCACCCTTTAATGCTTATTTCTACTGGGAGTCCTTTAACTGGTATAGTACAGCAGAAATAGCCAGTATCAGTAAGATTAGTCCCATTTTGCCTAGGAAATTACAGCATTTCTTACATTTCTCTGGGTATTTTAACGAGTTTTTGGGTAAGATGCAGAAACAATCTGCAGAGTGAGAGCCAAAGATTAGAGTTGAAGATTAGGTAGAAGTAGATTAAAAAGAGGTTTTAAATGAGAAAAGTATCCTTGTATATGCCACATACACACACACATGCACACACGTCTCATGCACAGAGGGCTGAAGCAGATGCGGCAGTGCTGTTGTGTCCTACATGGGAGCTCTTCCCCTAGTGTGATGCCATACAATTTAAAGCTAAGGACCTTGAAAGAAATAACACATTTGCAGTCATAGATAAAAGCAACAATGTTGTACACACAAACAAAAGTGGATGGGACACATCTGTGTTTTTGCAGATTAAGTGACATATGGCAGCGACATGCTTTACATTGTCAGAAATCTATAAAATATCCAAATTAAGATTATTTTTATAGCTACCAAAGCAGCAAAATGTGCCATGTTTTTGTAGGAGATATTTGCAATTTCCATTTTTTATGCTGATCAAGTTTCCTGTGAAATAATTTGCATTTTCAGTGATACTACCCTTGTAACCTTGTAACATAATTGATCATTGCATATACTGTTTGTCCTTCTGTGACCATTATATACGTATTTTCAAAGAAATTTGGAAAATATCCAGTGATAACCTAAGCAGAAAATAAGTCATAGAGGGCTAGCTACCTCATAAAATGTGCTGTTTTTTAGAGAAATATATGAAGTTCTAGGAGATAAACAGGTGTGATACCTTAAGGTTTTCTTCATGCTCTTTTGCTGTGTAAATGTTCCAGTGATACTGAGATTGTGGATATTCATTATACAGTGAAATGTAATTATAACTACCAGAACCAATATAACTACACAGGGTTTTCAAAAAAGGCCGGAGGAAAGGAAAATAAAGAAGTACACAGATGCAGAAAAGTAACTATAGAAAGTACATGGAGAGTGAACAAGTACTGCAATATCACAAGAATTGAAGAACACCATGAGCAAGAGGAGGAACGGTCAAAGCACAGCCAGTACTGCTTAGAATGCCTTGGGAATCCATGCCCTTCTCCAAAGTGACGTTGTCAGCTGTTGTCATCCAGATCTCCATGCCACAAATTGCGCAGGCCACCTGAGTCAGCTCCCTCAACCTCAGGAGCTGTCATCAGGACTTGAGGAGCTGGGTGCAGACCTCAGCTTGGGGATGCACAACTGCAGGCTTGGAGCTGCCAAGCCAGGAGACAGACAGACTTATCTAACTAAACTGCACAGCTGCAGAGAGTTCAAGACCCTTCACAGATAGCATGAAGGCTCACATTCACTATGGGTAACCCATCTGTGCCTCAGAGATGCATCCCTTATTCTAGCCACTCATGCACTCTTTATCCAAATAGCTAAATTCAAGTATTAACCTGCTTCCAGGTTCAGGCTGGGTAGATCTCTGCTGATCTTTTTTTAAGACTCAACAATCCCATGTTTAACTCTCCGTTTCTTTGCCTAACCCTTGCATTGCAACATGTCTGCATTTGACAAAGACAATAGATGTAGAAGGAGAGGCAGATCCCAGAGTGTAAGTTAACGGCAGGGTTGTTTGCTTTCTTACCCATAACTTAGAGGTAGGCACATTGTAGAGGAATGATAGAAGAGGACAGTGATTCACAGCTCCACAAAGCATATCTGTGCCTCAGAAACAAGCCCACAGGGAAGCAGCCCCCTTCTACTTTCCTGTTACAAGCTTTTCTTTCCTATTACAGGACTCTGTGATTCAGCAGAAGCCACAGTAGCAAAGTTCTCTGGTCTAAATAATAAATCTAAACAATAATAAATCTAGAGGGGCCCAAAATTACCTGGTGCAAAGGAGAAGATGATATGCTGCATTAGAGAAACAGTTTCCTGGGCTGTTACCTTGCTGTGCCTCTCACATCAACTACAACCTAGAAAGAAAGTCAGAATTCACTGATAGCATTATTGGGCCCAAGATGTTTTGAGAGTAGTTTATAGATCATGTTGCTCAGTGGGCTCAAAATACAGGCCTTTTGCAGCCTTCTTCGTGGAGAGCAGAAAGAAGTTCGAAGGGGCATGTAAGAGTGCAATCTAGTCCATGAGTACCTCCACCGTCCATAAAGCTCTTCACACAGCTGTCTAGGGATCTCATTCCTGCCATGGATTAACTGATCAGCCTTGTGCCTTGCACTTGCCTGCAAACTTCAGGAGCAGTTTAGGGAATTAACCACCCAGATTAATCAGAGAGTGAAGCTAGAGGGACCTGGTGCACTGCACAACTCAGGCCATTGCATTTCACCTAATTACCCCATATGTAGTCCAGCAGGTTCTTGGCTTAAGCGAGTTCTAAAGGAAGACACGCCACAGTCCCAATATGAAGACACCAGTATGGACCATGTAGATACTTACTACATTCCCTGCTATTAACAAAATCTATGCTTTATGTTCATGTTATGCTCTTTTAATTATTATTTATTTTGTCTCCCAGACACAGATGGCTTTGATGCCCTTTCTACAAAGTAGAGAGCCCTTTAGCATCCTGAGCACATTAATGCAGAGCCCATCAACACTTACTGCTCTTCCCACCAGGAACAGAGTTTACCTCACTCTATGGCAGGGTGTCCCTTTTGTCCATGCCTTTTTCCTCTTAGACTTGCAATAAGCAACCCCTCGAGGATGCCCTCTGCCTTGACACCATTACAGCCTCTCTGGCCATGTGCTGGCCTGAGCCCAGCTGCTTTCCTGGGCTCTCAGTGTCATCAGGAGGCTCATGCACCTTACACTACCAGGTGTCTGAATGGAGTGCAATAACAACCATTAACAACAACATTAACAACTTCTGGCCTGAGAAAAATGTTAGTACTCAGAAGCCTAGTTATGACTGGACTTCTCACTGAATGGCCTTCCCTGCTGTGACCTTCGCAAGTGTTATCCAAGAAAAATATCTGAATTAACAATCATTTATTTCTTTAATTTAGCTGGAAGCTTACAGGATCGGATTTCTGCTCCAAAGATGTTGTGCCAGGGGGCACTTTGGTTCTTCATCTTCTGTCTTCCAATTTCTCTTTATATGCAACTTGTCAAACTCTAGGAGGTCAATGCTAATGAAGCACCACTGCAAGGGACTCCAGTGTTCGGAAGCACAACAGCTGAGTTGACTTCCATGGCAAAAGGCTAGGAGAAAATTTTTACAAAATGAGAGATTGGTTGGGGTCGGAAGGCAATGTAGCGCCTCCGGCGATTGCTTCCTCCAAATCCCATGCTCCAAGCAGGGCCAGCACGAGCAGGATGGATGTTACAGGAGAAACTGTCCAAAACCTTACTAAAGTAGAGAAAAACACCATTCACTAATCTCACCTGAATTGTTAATGAGATAGCACTTTTTTCCCTGATGATTCAAAGCAATAAGAGACAGACAGGATCTGTGGGCTGTAGAGGCTCTCTATTACTTAGGGACAAATACACCAAGCAAACACTGCTTGCTAATGCCCACCAGCAGCTGCTTGCAGGTAAAGACTCACAACAGAGTGTTGCCAACCTTAAAAATGTGCTTCCAAATTCCAGCCAGGTTTAAAATTTCATACCAGGCACCAGGGGCAGTGCCAGAGGTTGAGGTTGGACCTCTGGGGCTTTGGGAGCACTGGTAGTATTTATCCTGCCACTGTTCCAAAGGGACACAAGCTTCTCCATCACCAGCTTAGCACTTCGAGATGCAGTGACACAAAGCACTAGCATGGGCAGCAGCGGGGTAAAAAGCAGCAATCTCTCTGGAGTATCAAGCATTGGAAGACTGAAATAAGTTTATAAAAAGGCAGTTTTGACCTGTTCCTATTTCAGAGCAGCCTGATCTGAGCGATGAAGCCCGGGCGGCACCAACAGCTGCCGGGGCAATCTGCCAGAAGACCCCAAAGGCTCCGCCGCTCCTGAACCTACGTGGTTTTGTAAACAAAATCTGAGGAGCATACAAACATATGGTGAAGCACCAGCTCGGCAGGCTAAGAATAGATCATCTGGTGATATATGTGAGCGATTTCACATGCAAGAGGTCACTGAGTGACAAGACCACGCTGTGGAAGGGAGATGGGAAGAGACGGTGGAGGACCTAGTGCAAGTGTCTATTGCTGGGATGCGTCAGTTCACAGGATTTAACAGCACAAGTGTGAAGGCAGAAGCATAAAAGGACCATGAAAATGATGTGTTATGCAGTATAACTCACTAAAATAAATAAAAATGTCCTCCCTGCCTGCTAACTAGGCACTGTCATACTGGGAAGCCACGTAGAGCCCTCCAGCCTCAGGAGAACTGACGGGAACACTAATTAAGGACATTTATAAACTGAACGTGATATTATTAGCTTTAAAGGACGTGGCTGCTGTGACGGAGAACAGCCTGCTCCAGGCTTGCAGGGTTCGCTGAGCACATCAGGGACGGGGCAAGGAGGAGGATGTTGTTGCAGTTTGTTTGGATTGTCAAAAAAGTTATTAATCATAGACACTGTGAGAAGAGTCCTGGTGACACTGAGAAGAGCTCGGCTCAGGTGTCACAAAAATTGGGACTCAAAAGGCAATAGGACCTGCAATGCAGCGAGCATGCTGAAAAAATACATTGGGAGAGATTTTTCAAGCAAACAAACAAACAAAAAAAGGATGTCCCTCCGAATGACAACTGTTGACTGTCTTTCTTTTTTCACAGTCTCTCAGCAAGGTGAAAGCCAAAGACGCTTGTACAGAGATCTGCTGAGAAACTACAACCGTCTCGAGCGGCCGGTATTGAATGACTCCCAGCCCCTTGTAGTGGAGCTTCAGCTTTCCTTGCTGCAGATAATTGACGTGGTAAGTCCCCAGCTGTCCTGCTTCCTATCGCACCTCTTTGGTATAACAAATCTGATCTCTGGAGTAAGCAACAAACATTTCCTCCTGGTCAGACCAGATTCAGCCAAGCATCCTCCCTAAGCGCTGCAGTACATGCTTTGACACTTTGGAAGAGTGAATATTCTTCTAAACTCAAAGTCATGTCTGATACAACATGAGCTGCAAGTAGATTAATTATGTAGTTTTTCCATTCATTTTAAAAAGAAAAAAAAATCTCCCAACATTTCAATAAATTAAAAGCCATGTGTCACTGCAAATTATTAATGGCACGTTATTCCCAGAAACATTCAGGATGTAATAACTGGAAACGGTGTGTAGCTTTCAGAGTTACCAGCACTGGATTTACACCTTTTCATTAGGCACTATAATAGTACTGTGCTCATCGTCCGCCACATCTTCACCATGCACGGCAGCTGAAGGAGCCTGCCCTGAGATGAGGTGCATAGAGCACCTCTGCAGGAGCACCCTAAAAATTGCCTTTGCTGATCCCTCTACAACACGCTTTTGCAATACTTGATGATCTGATCCGTGGAATATTTTAACATGATAATCCAAGTAAGGATCCCCTTTTCCGAATGAAGAGGATTTTATATGGCAACTCATTACTTTTAGAGATCATTTCATTCATATACATGCGCAAACCAAGCCAGAACACCCTTCCCTGTCAATACAATGAACTGCTGAACATGTCAGTATTCCTTTCTTTCTCCATCCTTAAGGATGGGGATTAGGTGGCTTAAGGATTAAGGGACCGGGGCATCTATTGTATGAGGAAAGACTAAGCGAGCTGGGCCTGTTTAGCCTGGAGAAGACTGAGAGGAGATCTGATCAATATGTTTAAGTATCTTAGAGGATAATGAAGGGAGGATGGAGCCAAACTCTTCTCGGTGGTGGCCAGTGACAGGACAAGGGCTAATGGGTACAAGTTGAAATCCAGGCAGTTCCACCTCCATGTGAGGAAGAGCTTCTTTCCTGTGAGGGTGACAGAGCCCTGGAACAGGCTGCCCAGAGAGGCTGTGGAGTCTCCTTCTCTGGAGATCTTCCAAACCCGCCTGGATGCCACCTTGTGCCACGTGCTCTGGGTGTCCCTGCTGGAATAGATGATCTCTAGAGGTCCCTTCCAACCTCATCCATTCCATGATTCTGTGATCCTACCACTCCTGCAGTCAGTAGTGTAGCCTGTTTTCCCATACAGTCTCATAGTCAAGAAGGGAAGAAGGAAGACACACACTTTCAAGCTTCTGGATACCTTCAACTGCATTTCACAGAGGTCCCAAAGTTTTAAATTTCCTATAATCTTTCTGAAAGTCTCTAGGGCACCTAATGCTCTCCCCAGAGGGGTCCCTGAAAATGAAGCTCCCTAGCACAGGATAGAGATGCCACATAAGCTCAAGTGACAGGACGAGCTAGTTGTGGTTCTCCTGGCAGCAGGCAGTAGCCACGTAGGCAGGATAAGAAGCTTTCTGCTTTAAAATATTAGATATTGCATGAAGCTGGAAGGGAGAGGAGTACAGCAGTCTTAACCGAAGTCACTCACATTCATGACAGGAGCTCACAGTCCTCGACTTGAATGAAAGAACAAAGAAATCCCCCAGACAATTTTAGGCATATTTCATTGGGAGATTCCAAAGTCAGCAGAGGCATCTGAGCTCAGAAGGCCTTTCTCCAAACTCACTGTGGATTTTTTTTTAATGGTATTTTCTTGCAGTAATTTGAGGGCTGGGGTAGTGGAGAGGGCTTTTTGTCATTAGACATGGAACTATGCATTATCAAAGTCAAGCAGGAGGAGGAAAAAGATACATAAACCCCAGTTTGTTGGATACTCTGGTAGATCTGCAGCTGGGTTATTATGTTCCTGGGTGAAATATTTCCTTTCAACAGACAACACTTTTTAAGCACTTTACTTTTTAAGCACTTTACCTCCATTGTGTCGCAGTCATCTGTCACAATGAATTTGATTTCTCGTTTCCCTTTTGATGATTCAAATTAAGAAACAGGTCATCTAAATGATAATATGCATCCAAAACAACACTTTGCTTCCCTCCACTCTGCACACACTACAGATGCTAGAAGTTCATCAGCTCTTAACAGCAGTGACTCATTCCAGACTCATGGTCTTGTGTGCTGCAGTCACAGTGTCCTTAAAATACAACTGGAGTAACCTGGGATGGGTCTCCAACACCATGTAAAACAAGAAGCAGAAAATCCTCCATATGTGGGCTAAACTACATTTTCTTCCTGCATGCTATACAATAGTCGTTTTATTTTAGTAATTTTAGTTCAGTAGCCAATACCAGGGACACTTCCAGGTCAGCACAGGTTGTTCAGCATTATCTGGAGAAAAGAGGATGATGGGAGGGAAGAAGAATGTCACACTAAAGGGAATAAGAATAGCAAGGTCTAAAGAAGACATGACATTGTACAACCTTACTGCTGGACTCACTGGAATGCTTTACAAATACTCTCCATGACAGGCATGAAAAAGTACAGCCCGGATTATTACCCTGTGAGAGGAACCAATATAAAGAAGAAAAACTTAAAGAAAATGTGCATAGTCCCTCTTACACAAAGGGACTCACTCTTTTCTCTCCACACAAACTATCGCATCTACCATGCACAGATCTACGACAGGCTCCACGAAGCGGCTCCGCGAAGTCTGATCGCTAACCATAGTGTCTCATAACCTAATCAAATCTAAATTCATCCGCTGCAGCCAACGTGCTGAAAACAGCATTTATGGCAGCCTACATTCCCTTTGCTGCACAGAGAGGGAAGATACCCCTGGGATCCCTTTACTATTACCTAGTAGTAATAACCAGTGACATTACTTGAAATACCACCTCCTCTTGTGCCCTCCATTCAAATCAAATTTCCAAGCACGGCTTCCTTACTTTAGGTTTCCTGCTGGTACCAGCATGTATTTGCCTGCATGGTATCTTTTTTTGCTTTTTAGTGCACAAAGACAGCCATCACAGAAAAAGCTTTGAGGATCATGTACTCTGCCTGTCAAGCAGACCCTAGGCAAAAGGGTAGATGAGGGGTAGATGGAGGAATTCCTGTCATTAGAGTTAAAATTGTTATCAAAATTCTCTTAATTCGTAACTAGAGCCAAGACAGACCTCTCACCACCTCCAGTAAACAAATGCACAGAAGGGGAGCTCTGCCAGAATTGCTGTTTCCAGTTCATGCTACATATCAACTCTTGCTGGAGATGTGTATTTTAGCCAAAATGGGTGACGGTCCGAGATACTTGCAATCCCTTTGAGCAGTCTTCATTGCTGCAAGAACTCCTGCCAGGTCGCAGAAGTGCATAGATTTTGCATGGAGCTATCTCACTTGTTCATAGCGGCTTTTGTGCCCTTTTTGCCAAGGGTCTGGGCCCTGCCTTTCCCTTGCCTCCACAGGGATTTGTCCAGTGCTCTCTCCTGAAGAACATTAGGAAGAAACTTAGATGAGAACCAAAGAATTTTAAATTAAATAAACAAAAATGAAACAGACAAGCCGATGTTCAGAAGAGTATCAAAAATAATAAACCCCAACCTGTCTGGGAGTGTATCATGTGTTTTTAAAGACCCTCTAAATAAAGATCCTAATTTTAGGAAGATGATTGCACCATGCTGCAGAGATGATAAATCCCCCAAAAGCCCTTTCCAAAAGCAAATACAACGCCGGATTTCCAGTAATTACTGCACCGTCAGTTCTGTGAGTGTCATACTCTACTCGTCAGCCTGGTACTCTCAAAGGATGCATCCCAGCTGAGGTGGTGGCTCCGGGGCTTGCTATGGGTCCGAGCACAAGTTTACATCCTCTGTAGCTAGAGACACGAGTCATGGCCATCAGCGTCAAGCAATGCTCACACAGGCAGAAGATCCAGGCATAGGGAATTATCCAGGATGGGCAGGAGGGAGATCCACGGATGCAGCCTGGAGAGGAAGGGAGAAGTATCGTCCTGGCAAAATCATAGCAAAAAGGGGTCTGAGAGGCCGGACAGGCATCCAAGAGGCTGCAAGGAAAAAAAAATACGCACTCCTGCAGGTGCATAAAATGAGTACAGGTCTAATTGCAACGCAGAAGGCCCCTGAGTGAGCTGAAACTGATCCAGGAAACACAAACGTGGCTGCAGAGACACGATAGGTGAGAGGAGATTCATTCATAAACCCTTTCTATTTCTGTGCTCTCTTATCTACTCTCTTTGAATTCTCTTTGGAAGGATTTATTCCCATTTATGTTCTAGTGAAACCTGCTTCCCTGAGACTGAAAGTTCCTTTGGTCTCTTTTGCAGAGCTGGATTGCAGAGTGGGGCTGTGCGTCTCCTCTCGCGCAGCTCAGTCCTGCAGCTATCACATTCCATCTCCCTCCTGCTCACTTCCCCGTGTGCCCCAGGAACATCACATATCGTGGCAGGAATTTTGGGATGAATTTCCTCTTTTATCAAAGCGGATCACAATTAGAAAAAGGGATGGCAAGTCTGCAATGGGAAGCCACAAGAATATCAGGAAAAAGAAAAACAAACCAAATCACCCATTGCTGGTCATTTTGCACTTCCAAAAACTAAAAATGCATTATTTCACTGTAGCTACAGCCCCAAAGCAAATTACATATCTGGAAAATTCAGCATGCACTGTTTTGCTTTGATTACACGGGGGTAACATGATTGTACATCCTATTCCTGGAGGTATTATCCCAAATGCCATCACATTCTTGCACACAGCTCCATTTATCCACAGAATTTGCCGCTTCAGTGTGTCAAGCTCTTGAGAGGTTTGGAAGTGGCAAGACAAACTCACAGAAGAGTTTACTGGAACAGCAAAGAGCAAGTTTCAATCCGCCTCCTGCAGAACAAGCCTGTGCATTGCTGTGGAGGGAATCCAGCAAAAATCATCTGTGTGTTCTTGCCATGAACACTGAGGTGTGGTCATTACTGTTTTAAACACAAAATCAGCCAGTCCATCCCAGCACAG